TCCTACACCGAGAGGACTCGAATATGCCCATGCGGGAGTGCCTTGACGCCAGGATTGTACGCCTCAAATCTAAGTCCTGAGGGGGCACAAAACAAAACATGAGTGGACCAAGTTGATATATAAGTAATACTAAAACAATTAATCTTTAACGTACTAACCCCTAGGTTTAGAAAACTTGTATAGCATAATAAGTAATAGGTTTTTCCGAAAACCCTAGTACACCATAAAACCTTTCATAAAACATATATCGTACATAGGTTGCTTAGTAGTGGTAGCACAAGGCATATATATATATAACCATATATCTTCAATTGCCCGAAGGCACTACATTTCTTGGCCGAAGCCACCGACCAACGCCTGGCTGAAGCCAATATAAATATTTTCCGCTCGTAGGCACTAATCAAACGTCCGACCGTAGCCAATATAAATATCTTCTGCTCGTAGGCACCAACCAAACGCTTGGCTGAAGCTAATATAAATATCAATCGCCCGTAGGCTCCTACAGCACCCGATCGAAACCAATATACAAGTATCATTCGCACATAGACAGTATCATTCGTCCGAAGGTAGATCATTCGCCCGTAGGTAGGACATTCGCCCGTAGGCAGATCGTATGAATAACCACTAAGTAAGTACATAAAAACATTAACATAATATTTCTAATATATATATATATATATCTATTTTAATCGGAGTTCAGTAGCTAAAATGACATATTGTAAAACCACGTTCATAAGTATGTATATAGTCATCAATCATATATACCACAAAGAATGTAAAGACAATAAAGCATAATATAACATAAAGTGTAAATCCAATTTACTCATAAACGTTTCATAAAATGTAACCAATAAATCATGCTTTTCATGTATGCATTTCTAATAGTAAAATCATGCATTTTAGAAGGAGTGCACTCACAATACTTCGCCGTCGAAGAGCCATGCAAACAAGAGAGGACGGAAACGCCATACACAATTGCACCCAAGCACATAAAGGTACCAATTAATAACACTACACTAAAACGGTTGAATTTCGGGAAACAGATGACATAAACGGATTTAGGACGTCAAAAAACATAAAGGGGACCTTAGGTACCCCCACGCGCCGCTGCACGCCATTTTGGGTCGCCAGAAAGTTCATAGGAAAAGTCGTCGGTGCCGCCGTGGATGGCGGTGGAGCACAGTACCTCTGGTGGAGGAACATGTACTCCACACGCCGCCCAAGGCAGACACCCATGCATGCCCATGCACAGTCCCACGCGCGGACTACGTGCTGGCCAGGGGTTTAGGATCTGACTAGGTTGGGCTTAGTTCCTAGGCTAGGGCCATTTGGGTTTGGGCCAGGATTACATGGCCCAAAGGCTTGGACCGGGTTCCATGGGTTTGATTGATTTGATTTTTAGGTCGAATTCACGAGGGAAGAGGAAGCCAGAGCTTCCCAAGCTCCGATCGACCTCGATTTTACATTAAACTTGACGATTAAACCATGGAAATGAAGCTACGAGGGAGAGGAAAAGAAACATACCATTTTAAGGTCCAGCCGTGGCAGAGAAGTGGCCAGGAAACATAGAACCTCACTGAGGAGGTGGGTGTGCTAAGTTCCATTAATGGGTATCTCTGTGCTCCACAAAGAAGAGGATAGAGAAAGAGAGCAAGGAGTGAAGATGATGGTGGTGGTGTTGTCGTCGGAAAGAATAGGTGTATGTGTGTGTGAGTGTGGCGCTCGGGGAAAGGGATGCGGCGAGGGAGAGAGATGGACAGAGTAAGGTCTGAGAGGGAGATGGACATAAATGAGACAGACAGAAAAGAGGAGAGGTTAGGCTGGGGAGACAATCCAAAACAAGTGGGTCCCATCGGGCACACACATTAAGAACAAAAGTAATCCCATCTCAAAAATATCTAGCCCACAAGATGAAATTACCAAAATACCCTTGTTCCAAAAATCCGTAAATAAATATCGGGACGAGTTGTTACACTTAAGTAGTGCTGAAGATTACACCATCTTTGACAGATGTACCACAATCATGAAGTTAGTAATGTTATTGTTGTCAAACTATATTTTAATATTATTGTAAAATTCAGAAGGTATGGTCTAACTCGTGAGTTTGAGCTTTATTTCATTTTCGCATGCGTTGATGTTTGAACCATTAGACATCAAAAGATATCGAAAGAAAAGGTTGTAAATCAAGAATAAGGATATGCAATATGTTCATCTTAAAGTATCTAGACTGAATGGGAATGTATCCTGTCATTATTTTTCGTGGTTAGATTGAACATCATATACAGAACTACCAGATCATATATTGTACTTTTGGATGTTCCAATTATGCCTAAACAATAAAAAAAATCAAAGATAAATTTCACTGCACACGCAAAGCTTGTGTGCGAGTTGATAGTAAATTTGTAGAGTAGCTTTGTGTGTGTGAATTGGTATCTTATCTGTGAGTTTTTTATAGGAAAATTTTAGAGTGATTAACATTCATTGCAAGTGTCACATCCCGGCCTAAGCCCCCATCACATCCCAGGCTCAACTCCACCGTAGCATGATATTATCCGCTTTGGGCCCCTACCACGCCCACATGGTTTTGTTTCTGGGAACTCACATGAGAACTTCCCAATGGGTCACCCATCCTGGGATTCCTCTTGCGCGAACTCACTTAACTTCGGAGTTCCAATGGAACCTGAAGTTAGTGAGCTCCCAAAAAACCTCGTGCTAGGTAGAGATGAGAATATACATACAAGGCTTACAGGATCCACTCCCTTGGGCGATGTGGGATGTTACAATCCACCCCCTTAGGGGCCCGACATCCTCGTCGGCATACTTCTAGCCAAGGATTGGCTTTGATACCAAATTGTCACATCCCGGCCGGGCCCTCACCACATCCTAGGCTCAACTCCACCGTAACACGATATTGTCCGCTTTGGACTCCTACGACGCCCTCACGGTTTTGTTTCTGGGAACTCACACAAGAACTTCCCAGTGGGTCACCTATCCTGGGATTCCTCTCGCGTGAACTCGCTTAACTTTGAAGTTCCAATGGAACCCGAAGCCAGTGAGCTCCCAAAAGGCGTCGTGCTAGGTAGAGATAGGAATATACATTTAAGGTTTACATGATCCACTCACCTGGATGATGTGGGATGTTACAGCAAGTACTTTTTGTAGAGCTTTAGCAAAGAGTGTGCACAAAAGTCTTCAAAAGTAATGACCTTAAGCTTGCTAGGGTGGGGGCTAAAATGGTTGAGGTTTTAAATGAAGCTCATCCCAACCATGTGAATAGTTGCTGATGACTCAAAACTCCAAAATGAACTTTGATATTTTTGTAAAGTTTTTGTTATGATTCTTTGCTAGAATTAAGAGTCGTTTTAGCCTGTTTATCTCAATAATTTGTCATAAACTTGCAATACAAATAGCTAACATTTTAAAGAAACTTTGCAATGAACAACAAATTGAAATCTTTGACGAACCCATATGCATTTGTATGACCAATTAAACTATTTGATTGCACCTTTCCTTTCAAAATATTCCTATTTTAATTCTATAACTAACATCATAGGCAAACATTTGATAGATTAGCATTAAGTATTTAAGGTGTAATAGCAAATAGTTCAAAATACGTCTAAGGGTATTTTGGTTGTTTTTGTCCTAAAGTTAGGGAATCGAATTAACTCTAATCCAATTCCTAAAATAATCTTGTGTGAGTTCTCAGAAGATATATCGCTTGTCCTACAAGCATTTTGGAGAATAGTGGTGTCAAGTATTAAATTTGTGGGATTCTTTAGGTACCGTTTGGTACGTAGGATGTGATGGAATGTAGTGGGACAGATGTGCCCGCCCCACGTTTAGTGCACCAAATTCCCTGAGGTAGCACTATCCCGTGGAACAATTTGGTTAAATTTTTTTTTTTCCACCCTTTCCACCCTCCCTGGAACGAACTCGTTCAATCCCATGAACACAAAAGTATAAATTTTTTAGACAAAAATGTCCATTGTCTTTTTCTATATTTTCACTATCTAAATCATAAAACAAATCAAATCCTAATTCTATCATTTTTTTTCTCCTGCAGCCTTCCTCTCCCGCAACCTTTTCCTCTCTCGTAGCCTCTCCTCCCCCACAGCCTCTCTTCTCTTTTCCCCGACGGATTGAGACTGCATCTCTACATCTCCAGGTTCAATTTTTCTCTCTGTAAATCTTTGATTTTGCTTTTCTTGTTTGTTTTTACTTTTTCGTTTTTTATGAAAAATGATTAAACCCTGCATTTGATTGTGTTGGGATTGAGTTTTTTTAGGAATGGTGATGGGGAAATAATGGGTAAAACAATTTGAAAATTGCAAGCACCCCTTCAAGTTATCAAAGGATATGTTGTTTACTGCTACATACATATTGCATCAAGTTGAATATATTTATTTTCTCCTGCATACAGATTGCATTATTTTCACATGGTGTTGTTACATTATTTTGATGAGGGTTTTAAATTTCGTCCTAGTTGCAACAAATTTAGTCACACATTTATACATTTTACAACCCCTCTCATTCATGTGTTGTTTTACTGCATGTGAAGACATGAATGAATACAAGACTCATTTCTTTTTTCTTATGAGCGTTTGAACTATATTGGCATAAGTGTATAATGAACGTACGATTATTGAGATATAGACAACGACAAAGGAGACAAAGGGAAAGAGCTAGTTTAAAGCAGAGGACATTTGTTAGACTTTATGTTAGGAGAGAAGAGATAGATCGTATCACACAATTGAGTGATACTATTTGTGGGAGCTGCGAATGGATGGGAATGCATTTGTAGTTTTATGTGATTTATTAAAAATTCGTGGTGGATTGGTAGATGATTGTCATGTTACAATAAAGGAGCAAATAGCTACTTTTGTTAACATATTAGCCAACCACAAAAAAATAGGACAATTCAAGTGTGATTTATTAGGTCTGGTGAAACTATTAGTCAGTATGTCCACAGAGTATTGCATGGGTTGCTCAATTTGCAAAACATGTTGCTTGCCAAACCAACCCAATCCCAGATGATTGCACGAAATCGAGATGGAGATGCTAGAAGGTAAGCAACATGGTAAAATCATTAATAACATAATTATTTATCGTTGCTAATTAATATAATTAATATAACTTTTTCTTTTGTCTAGGGTTGTTAGGAGTGTTAGATGGAACATATATAGGGGTCATTGTGCTTGAGGTCGATAGACCAAGATATCGAACAAGGAAAGGTCATAGCAACTAATGTGTTAGGCGTATGCACACATGATCTCAAATTCATATATGTGTTATCCAGTTGGAAGGGATTAGCTATTGATTCAAGAGTTCTTGGTGATGCTATTGCTAGAGTTAATGGCCTTAAGGTTCCCACTAGTAAGATAGACAAGTACTTGCTATTCCTCCTTACTTTTCTTGGCCAACAACTAAAAATTATTATTAACTAATGTAGGTACATACAATTTGGTTAATTCCGTATATATAAATGGTGAAGGTCTTCTACCACTGTATAGAGGTACTAAATATCATTTGCAAGAGTGGGGAGACAATTCACATGCACCTAGGAATCATGAAGAATATCTTAATATGAAACACTCACATGCTAGGAATGTCATTGAGAGATGTTTTGGCATTCTCAAAAGACGTTGGGCTATCTTGCGGCATCCTTCCTACTATCCAATCAGGATTCAAGGACAAATGATCACAACATGTAGTTTACTTCATAATTTATTAGAAAGTAAATGACAGTTGACCCTAAGGAGAATGCAAGGCTTGCATTTGACGAATTGCCAATAGAAGAAGATTTACCAGAAGTATTAGCCCACATTGAAACCGTTAAGTCAAGCCAAATATAGACTCAATGGAGGCATGATCTTGCAAGAGAAACATATGATGAGTGTAGAGGGGTAAGGGCTTGAAAATTGTTTGAGATGGTAGTTGTTGTAATTGTTTTTTATTGTTTGATGACAGTTTGTTGAATGATTGTATGTGATATTTTGTTTTCTGACAAATGTAATTGTTGATGTTGGTTGGCTCTGTTAAAACTTGCCCCTACTTTTTGTAATTGGTTATGAATTTGTTGTGGATTCTCTCTTTAAATGAATCAAATGCCGAAGCTTAAAAAAAAGAAAAAAAGATGATTGTTGTAATTGTTTTTTTATTGTTTGAAGACTGTTAAGATGATTGTTGTAACACTACTACAATGTTAGCTTTAGGTGGTGGATGATGGTGACAGACATTAGAAAAATCATGTAGGATAAATTATATCCGACACATCATTTAATTAGAACGGATATTAGAAAAATTCCATCGGTTATATCCGACATCAATTCTTGGCAGATATTTAGTGGCGGATATCAAAAAAATCATGTCGGTTATAATCGACAGTATTTTTGAATCTTTTTTTTTTAAATATTTTTGACAGATTCTGGCGGTTTTTAAGTTAATGATGGCGGTTATAACCAACAGAAATTAACTATTTTATTATTTTACTTTTTGGCGGTAATTATTTTAGTATTCTGACGGTTATAACCGAAAAAAATGAATATTTTATTATTTTACAATGTTATATTGATTAAAAATAAATAAATAAACACATATTTTGAATATTTTTCTTTTCACTCATGACCCTAAAGTCTAATGAACTCAATTCCTACGAGCTATAAATTTTTTGAGAGAATAATAACATACTACAATCTGAAGCTCTATCATTTTTGTAATAAGGATTATGCTCCTTCACAGGCAAGCAACAAGATACAAAGAAATTCAAACAATTGTTTTCAATACGTCACAAAGCACATTGTCTGGCACATAAACACACATGAACATCTAGTGTACTCTATCATGTCTGATTTTATTATTTTAAAATGTTATAATGATTAAAAATAAATAAATAAACACATGTTTTAAATATTTTTTTTTTCACTCATGGCTCTGTCGAATATACCCGACACGAACAAAGCAAAATTTTGGACGCCCGCTAGAATAATTTCTGAATGTTTTTTCCCTTTTTTTTTTTGAACAATTTTTTACATGCTATCTCGGAGTATATACAAACATATTTGATAGTTAGATCGTTGAAACTAGTTTCGTAGAATGCATATCTTATCAAATTGATAGATTTAACAAACACTTAAGAATTAATGTTATACTTCCATTAAGTATAAAATAAGATTTGTCCACTAGTGTAAATATTTTAAATTGAAGATCGAATTCATTCATTGCATTCTTATAGGATCGAGGAGTGTACTGCAAAAAATCATCAAAATCGGAGCTAAAATAATCGTTAAATTGTAACTTTTCATTTATAACCATCGAAAACTTTTGTTCCATTACCTAATCTATGAATGTTTGTTTTCTACGATTTTTTATGTATGTGATCTTGGAGTGCGTACAAACAAGTTTGATAGTTGAATCGTTGAAAAACGTTTCGTAGAATGCGTATCATATTAAAACGGTAGATTAAACCAACACTTAGAGTTAATGTTATACTTCCCCATCAAGTATAAAATAAAATTTTGTGATATCCACTAGTGTAAATATTTTAAATCGAAGATCAAATTCGTTTAATGTACTCTTATAGGGTCGAGGAGTGTAGTTGTAAAAAATCATCAAAATCGGAGCTAAAATAACCGTTAAATTGTGATTTTTCGTTTATAATTGTCGAAAACTTTTGTTTTGTTACCTAATCTCTAAACATTTGTTTTTTGTGATTTTTTACGTATGTGGTTTCGGAGTGTGTACAAACAAATTTGATGGTTAGATCATTGAAAAAAGTTTCGTAGAATGTGTATTGCGTTAAAACGGTAGATTACTTCCATTAAGTATAAAATCTTAGTGTAAATATTTTAAATTGAAGATCAAATTTATTCATTGCATTCTTATAGGGTTGAGGAGTGTAGCTATAAAAAATCATTAAAATCAGAGCTAAAATAACCGTTAAATTGTGAATTTTCATTTATAACCGTCGAAAACTTTTGTTTCATTAAATAATCTCTGAATGTTTGTTTTTTACGATGTTTTACATATGCAATCTCAAATTGTGTACAAATAAGTTTGACAGTTGGATGGTTGAAAAAAGTTTCGTAGAATGCATATCGCGTCAAAACGGTAGATTAAACAAACACTTAGTGTTAATATTATACTTCCATTAAGTATGAAATAAGATTTTGTGGTATCCACTAATGTAAATATTTTAAATTGAAGATTGAATTTGTCCATTGCATTCTTGTAGGGTCGAGGAGTGTAGCTGTAAAAAAATTATCAAAACCGGAGCTAAAATAACCGTTAAATTGTGATTTTTTGTTTATATTCGTCGAAAACTTTTGTTTCATTACGTAGTCTCTGAATGTTTTTTTTTTTTTTTTACATATGCAATCTCAGAGTGTGTACAAATAAGTTTGACGATTGAATCATTGAAAAAAGTTTCATAAAATGCATATCGCGTCAAAACGGTAGATTTAAAATTATTTATCGCATATTTTACATGGATTATTATCTATTAAACCAAACAAATATTTATTTAATTTTTAAAAACGTATTCTATTTAAATACATATTATTTATTTATTTATTAAACCAAACAATTATTATTTTATTTTTTAAAATCGTAACAAAATTTTGGAGCGGAGGGGGGGAATTTAAAATTTTGGGGGGGGAATTTAAAATTTTGGAAGGGAATTTTGGGGGGAGTTTTGCCGTTATTTTGTTTCTATCGGTTATAATCAACAATAATGAAAATTTTCTATCGGTTTTTATTTTAAGAAATGTTGCTTTCGGTTTTAACCGACAGTAATTAAAATTTTTCAAAATAACACCCTCCATCTCTTCTTTGCGCCGGTGCCTTCTCCTTTCCCCCTTCCCTCTTCCTTCCCCCTTTTCTCCTCTTGGCATCTCCGCTGCGCGTATTGATTTTGCCCCATGGGGTCTTAACCCTCCACATACACACCCTAGAGCTACTGAAAATTTGACAGTCCTGGAAGGGAGCCTCAAAGTTGGTTTTGTCACCTCCAACCAACCCCGAAAACCGCCTCATCATCACCAGTCGGTCTTGTGCATTTCCAGCAGGGTGATGTTTTTGTGTTCCCAGTTGGTCTTGTGCATTTCCAGCAGAATGTTGGACATGGTAATGCAGTTGCCCTTGTAGTTCTTAGCAGCCAAAATCCGGGTGTCATTACCATTGCAAATGCAGTATTTGGATCAAATCCTGATATACGTGCTGATATTCTTGCAAGGGCTTTCCAACTGGGTACGAACGCGATCTATAGCCTTCAGTCCAAGTTTTTGAATAAATTCCAATTTGCAACCTCTGATTAAATCAAAAGGGATTTAGCTCATTCGAAGTGTCTATAGAAAATTATTACAGTTTGTTTTTCATCGCAGTCATGTTGGTCTACTGTTTTGTTTGATTCAAAAGATTTAATTTGTTTATGCTCTTTTGAAATGCTGTTGAAACCTGATATCCCTGTTGGTCATGTCGGGATAAGGCTGTGTGGTTGTATGCTCATTTGAAATGTGATCAAGTTGTTATTTTTTTATTCTATTGCTCCCAGAAATAATAAAAGCGGATGTTTGGTACCAACTTCAAGTAAAACACGAGTGCTTTGAGTTTGGAAAACTGTTTCTATTTGTTTAGGCCAAAAATGAAAAGGCTTTCATTTCCTTTTAAGCATGCAAAATGCACTTCATTTAGAAGCATAAAAGCCAAACAAAGTGGTTTATATTTTTTTTATTATTAATATATTTCTATCGGATATAACCGACAGAAAATGCTCTTATTCATTATTAATAAATATTTTGTTGGTTATATCCGACACAAGTTATGTCGGTTTTATCCGACAGAAAATGCTCTTATTTATTCATTATTAATATATTCTCTGTCGGTTATATCTGACACAAGTTCTGTCGGTTTTAGAGTATTTTCTGTAGAAAAATTCATTTCCTGACGCTGGCAATTCTGTCGCTTATTATATCCGCCACTGCATCCATTTTCTGTCGGATTTTGCTTAATATCCGACAATAATATACGTTTCTTGTCAGTTATCATAGCGACACTAATAAATGGTTTTGTAGTAGTGTAATTGTTTTTTTTTTTTTTTAGTTGTTTGAAGACAATTCATTTCTTATGACAATTTATTTTTCAATGATATATGACTTGTTATAACAGTTTGTTTCTTTTGTTACCTATGTAATATATGGCTTCTTTGATAGATTATATGGCTACCTCATGCTATTAGAATGATCACGAGGAGGATGTACTGCTTACCATCATCGATGGGATAGTTGCTGATGGTGTTTGGTGTGAGACTGATAGTTTTAAGGCTAGATCCAAGATACGGGAAAAGATTCCTAGAATTTCTATAGAGGCGAAGCATATACAAAACAAAGTGAAGCATCTAACAGAAAAATTTTCCTCTACATATGACATGATGAACATCTAACTTTGGTTGGAAGTACATTTTGTTTTTGTTCTTTCTCAATTAGATGCTTTGAAAGTCTTAACCTTAATTCTTTGGGTGCTTATTGTAGAAACATCCTAATGCATCTTGCAAACCAAATAATTCATTTTCAATGTATCCACGCTTGTGTACAATGGTGGGTAATATGGCTCAATCAGCAGCAGATGCAATAAAAAACATGGGGTTGGAAAATGAGGATTACAAGGCCTCTGACTTTACCTGCCCTATCTCCTTCTATTGCTACATCCAGTCCATTTGTATCTATTAGGAAGACGAAGAGGAAGAGGAAGAGGAATGATGGACAAATGTTTAATTTGGGATACTTCATGTTTAAGTTCTAGATATTTCATTTCTTTTTTTTTTAAGTGAGGATGAATATTTTTTTAAATAAGTATTAATATCCAGTAAGTGCTAGTGTAAAAAAGATATCATAAATAAGCATATATGTGTTCAAATATGAACAACTAAAAAAAAATATCACGTCTCGTGCCCATTGCATAAACATTGTACCAAACAATAGATGAAACTGGAGTATGTTAGTCATTTAATCTCTTGGTTCCATGTCGTCATGGGCTTACCAAACATGAAACAAAACAAACATTCTGTTCTGCTGCGCATACCAAAGATAGCACGGAACATCTGTTCCATCCCATTATATTCCGTTCTATTCCATCATGTTTCGTCCCGTAGGCATACCAAACACTACCTAGTTATTTCTACGTTTGGGGTTATTATAATAACGTTACTCACAGATCATCGTACTCTTCCAAAATTGAGTTGGCATCTTTTCATTCCATTTTGTTTAGGGTTTGCCAACTTGAAGGTCATTGGCCCCAATTTCGTTTTGCGACATGGCTAATAATGAAAAGTACTTCAATGTGGATGACGTAGAGGGAAAAGGATCTTTGCCGGATCCATTTTCTAGGGATTCTAGGGATCCTATGATCGTGATCGTTCATTGTACATTGTGCGGTCATAAATCATTTCAAAATTTAAAATTTAAAATTTAAAATTAAATATAAATAGTACCTAACGAAAACTGACCGCATGATGTATGATGAACGGTCACGATCACGGGATTCTTAAGATTCCAGGAAAAGGATCATGCAAGGATCCTTTTCCGATGTAGGATACGGTGGAGAGGACAACATTGATGATGTATCGTACCTTGAATCTTACAATGATGGTTTGAAGATTTTGACGACTGTCAAGGTGAGAATGGTATCTTGCAATATTACTAATTAGAGTTAGGTTGTATACTACTGTTTTTGTTGATAATGTTATAACTAAGTATAAGGTTTTTTTATTTATTGAATAAGATGCTTTATTAAACATCACATAATAGTTACATAAATAGAAAAATCTATCCAAAATTCCAACGTGAATATCAGAAAGTAAAATTGCATCTTAGTTAAAGACACACTACCTAATTAAGATCATGCAGGTTAAAACAAAATGTTGTACAAGTATCATAGAAGATATTTGTACCATACGTGACAAATCCTAAAACTACCAAGCACAGATCAACGTTATACCTTTAAGGACCCATTTAGGGGTTTATGCTGAGGCACTCCTGCCAAAGCACAAGAGTTTCCTTCCAACCAAAAGGCCAATCACAGTACGACACATGTTAACGTCATAATAAAGTTCATAGAGTCCCACATTGACCACGGACAAAACCTGGAGACTCTTCTAAACTATAAAAAAGACCATTCTCCTACAATTAATCCCTAATGTCATTATTGTACTTAAACTAGTCATTAGAACCCACTAATGATGATTATGTTTAAACTTATGTATTTGTATAACCCTTCACTGTTAATGAGAACTCTGCTTCGTGGATGTAATCAAACTTAGGGTGAACTACATACATTTTATATATTATCCTCACTAGATGATCGGAACAACTAAGAGAAGATCATAAACCTGATACTTTATGTTATTCCAAAATTTCACTGATTTTATGCATCAACAGAAAACATCAAGTTAGAAGAAGTACGTTGGTGATGTGGGCCTTAGCAAAAAAACTTTCCGAAGAAAACTATTTGGGGCAAAACTTCTAGATAAAGAAAAAAAGAGCTGGAAAAATTGTTGATGATATTGATTCAAAGAGCATCATTGCTTTTTTAACAGGTAAGTTTGAATCTCACCCAAATTTCTTTTTTTATTACACTGTATATTAAAAAGAAGGTTAGATAATTTGTTTTTTGAGAGACTCCTAAACCGATTGGGTTATAGATGCGGCAGGATGTCATTGGCTTTGATAGCAGTTGTAGAACAAATTGGTATTTCAAGCCTATGATTATGATATTAGGAAAAGGATTATCGCCGGATCATTTTCTTGGGAATTCTACGGATTATGTGATCGTGACTGTTCATTATATATCGTGCGGTAATTTTTTATTAGGTACTATTTATATTAAATTTAAAAATTTAAATTTTGAATTGATTTCTGACCGTACGATACGATGAATGGTTATGAGAACAGAATCTCTAGGATCCCTAGGAAAAAGATCCTTGACGGATCCTTTTCCATGATATTAGGTGTACACCACCATTTTACAACTACAGTATTCGGCTTTTCACTTTTGATAAACGAGACACTCACGACATGAGTGGGTTCTTAATACATTCCTACTTTCAATGGGTCATATGCAACCTATGTCACGGGGATTTAGGTATGTGTCAGGGAATAAAAATCTCCGCCTAACGCCACGTAAGCCTTAGCTAGATGCTAAGCGGTTGGCTATCGCTCCAATTAATTCCTAGGTGTTTGAAAATTAAGAGAGTAAGTATAGACTTGCTTAGGCATCCGCCTAGCCCCACTAGGCGCCCTTCTAAACCTGTCTAGGTATCTGTCTAAGTCTCGACTCTCACGTATACACAAAAACGATAACTTTGATTTTGCATTTTGTTTTGTTAATAAAATGTAAGAGACTTATTGGATACTTGGATGAACACTCATTATATACTTGTTCTCCATGTTTTCATTATGTTCTAATACTTTATAATCTATATGTAATTTTATTTGCAATTTATGTATTCCAATATGCTTATATGTTTTTTTTTAAGCATGAATATGCACTTATTTACAAAATGTATAATAAATTTACTAGCGCCTAATGTCTTTTATAACCTTGCTTGTGATCACATGCTCTATATATGGCATTTTGAGAAGAATATTATGTCACACATTCATGATCTTGATTGTTTTAAAGAGTAGACGAACTTCGAAAAGAACCACAAGATGGTGAAAGAGTTTGAGAAATGATGGGGTAAAATGCTGGATATGTATGGTTTTCGGGGGAACAAGTGACTAGAAAAAACATACAATAAGCGAACAAAAGAAGTTGAGATGCAAAGTTGGCCACGATTGGAGGGACTGAACGCTTTTATGAATTGTTATTTCAAAAAGAAGTTTGTGCTATTTGAATTTGAGATAACGATTCAAACAGCGTAAGCTTCTTTTTGAGATAACGATTCATAAAAGCGTTTGTTCCCTCCGATCTTTGCGTACTTTGCATACCGACAAACAATTTCCCCCACAAGAATGCTTCAACCCATCTTGTTACACACTCGTTCCCTTGAAACCATAGGTATACATTTTACCCCATCATTCCTCAAATTCTTTCACCGCCATTTGTTTCTTTTCAAAGTTTGTCCAGTATTTAAAACAACGGGATCATAAATTTGTGATATAAAATTTCTCTTAACATGCCTGTGATCACAAGTATCATGCGTGGTCATAATTCAGTGTTATAAAAATTGGCCTAGGCAGCGCCTAAGTGGTAGGCAGTGGCGGATCAATGCAATTTAGGCTGAAACTTTGAGAAAAATCGAGTAGGGGCTAGGCGGGTG